TCTCTATTCTCTATTCTCTATTCTCTATTCTCTATTCTCTATTCTCTATTCTCTATTCTCTATTCTCTATTCTCTATTCTATATTCTATATTCTATATTCTATATTCTATATTCTATTCCATTCCATTCCATTCCACTCTCCACTCCACTCTATTCTATTCCTACTATACTTTATTCTATTCCCTATTCCCTATTTCTATTATTTTTATTTCTATTATTTCTAGTTCCTATTATTTCGTTCTATTATTTCTATTTCTATTTCTGTTCTATTCTGTTCTATTTCCTATTTCTATTCTTTCTATTTCTATTCTTTCTATTTTTGTTTCTATTTCTATTATTTCCATTTCTGTTTCATTTCTGTTTCTATTCTATTATCTTCTCTTCTCTTCTATAGATAATCCCCGGGATATGAGCGTTCCCTTAGCGAATGTTCGAAGCTACATGATCAGCGCCCCGTAACGTTTCCGAACAAGCCCCAAAACTACGAATCTTGCAGCACCACAGCAGTTGTTCACCCTCAGAAACAACCACAGAGGCTCTGTAACATTCATCTGGCACATTGCCAGCTAAAATGGAGCTTCTGAGGGCGGATCTGTCCCTCAGAAGCCCCATTTGGGCATCCAGAAGCCTCCCCCAGCCCAATCCAGGTTGGATCCTGCCCCCGGAAGCTCAATTTCAGCCTGAAACGGGCTGGGGGAGGCCCGAACGGGGACTCAGGCCGCCAAACCACCATGGGTGCGGCCTAACCGATCCGAACCAGTAGGAACTCACCGCTGATGTACTTGTGACGGTTGCAGTGTCCCGGAGTCACGTGTGTGATCCCCCTTTGCAACCAACTGACAAGCAAAGTCAATGGGGAAGCCAGATTCGTTTAACAACCGTGTTGCTTTCTTAACGACTGCGGTGATTCACGTCAGGGGTGGGTTTCAACCGGTTCGCGGCGGTCCCTGCGAACCGGTTGGTCGGCGAACCCGGAAGTAAGTAACTTCCGGGAACAGCAAAGGGCCCACCCGCCCGCCCCCGCTCCTTACCCGGTTTTGACGAGTTCTGCGCTTCCACGCATGCGCAGGACGCATACAGCGCCTGCNTCCCCTGGAGTGGGGAAGGAATGGAGATTTTGCAGTATCCTTCCCCTGGAGTGGGGAGGGAATGGAGATTTTGCAGTATCCTTCCCCTGGAGTGGAGAGCAATGAGGATTTTGCAGTATCCTTCCCCTGCTACTCCCACCAAGCCACGTTAATCTGACCAGAATGTGTAGTTTGCTGTCTTCAAAAAAAGGGGTGATGGTTGTCTTTCAGATGCAGATGGGCTGCTGAATCCAGTCATGATGAGTTTGTCCTTCTGTGTTGTGGCATGCACTTGTGAAGTGGCTGTTTTGGTTGTTTAGACCAATCCCCTAACCAGACCTTTCTAATCCCCTGCAGAATTACCATGTCACCTTTCCTGAGGATTGGGCTGTCCAATTTTGACAGCGGCCCCTACCTCCCTTCGCAAGGAGACGTGGTCGATCCCTATTGTGCCGTGATGGTGAAGGAGGCAGCGGAGGCTGGTAAGGAAACACCTCTTTCAGGTCAGGACATCATTTGCTGTTGGGTGTGAGCTGAAGGTCTTCCGTTCCTTTGGATTTCAGTGAGGAAATTGGAGAGTGTGAGTTTCAAGGAGAAGTTAAGGTATTGTTTTCCCTTCGATTTTGACCTTAACCCCCCCCCCCCCCCCGAGGGAGGCTCTGAATCTCAATGAGGAAAGAAGAGACAGGGAAGGGCTATTTAATCTTTTTCATGCCGGTTGTTTTCCAGCTCAAAGTTATCCATTTCTCAAACTGTTTTTAAAAAACACACAAACACACACAAACCCAGATCTCCATTTACCAATAAAGGAGAATATTTGTAACTGAAGTTTGGAATGAGGATTCTTTGGTGCTTTCTGAGCTTGGGTGTTTTTTTTTTTGTAGATGTTTCATGACCAAACTAGGTAACATCATCAGTGTTGGAAGGGGATTCTATTCTATTCTATTCTATTCTATTCTATTCTATTCCATTCCACTCCATTCCACTCCACACTCTACATTCTATTCTCTACTCTACACTCTATTCTATTCTCTATATTCTATATTCTATTCTATATTCTATTCTATTCTATTCTAATCCATTCTATTCCATTCCACTCCAGTCCACTCCACTCCACTCTACTATACTCTCCTCTACACTACACTATATTCTATATTCTATATTCTATATTCTATATTCTATATTCTATATTCTATATTCTATATTCTATATTCTATATTCTATATTCTATATTCTATAT